TCTACTTCAGGACATAGGCATAGATGAATTAATCATGAGCTATTCGATGATACTGTTATAGTTTCATGCTTCATTTTTTCTGAACGACTCACTTTACCACAAGCTGATAGTCACTGTAGAGATTCCATATTCCCATAAAATCCTCATCAGTATATGTAAATCTGCATCTGACTCTGTTTGAATGTGCATTGTATCTTGAGTAGTCTCTGATATCCAATTTGCAAATCATTGCGGACTGGGCTAAAAGCTTAGTGTAGTTCAGCGCATTATATATGCTCCCTAACCACCATCTCCAGGGCCCTTCTCAACATTTCGTGTGTTAATTGTCGCCTACTTCTCTCTCTAGTGTATGAGGCGTTCCACAATGAGACACACATTCCTTTGACAGTGATTTTTCCTTAAGTGGAACTAAATCTTACTTTACAATCGCAGAATGTTTTTATTGATTATTTATCCAAATCCATCAATACATTGAATAACACAAGCAGTGCTACCTTTGATATATCATAGAGAGATAGCAGACCCATATAATAGAATATTTACAGAATATCTGACCAGATACAGGAATTAGAGTGAGTGAGTATGGTTTTACGCCGTTTTTAGCAATATTCCAGCAATATCACGGCGGGGGACACGACCTGGTGGTTAAAGCGTTCTCTCGTCAGACCGAAGACCCGGGTTCGATTCCCAACATGGGTACAATGTGTGAAGCCAATTTCTGGTGTCCCCCGCTGTGATGTTGCTGGAATATTGCTAAAAGCAGCGTCAAACCATACTCACTCACTCATTATAAATCAAATACTAACATTGCTCAAAGCAGAGTTAAAACTCACTCACTTTTGACGCTGGGACTTTTCTGAGTATGTTGTCAATGTCGAGGAATCGTAAAACGCTGTTTACGTCATCCACCCTACAACTGAAATCTGGTCGAATTGCTCATGTTCCCGGTCAACCAAGATGAAATTAAATTGCGACATATCACTCCCACGGGACACTGAGACGAATTGTCCAATATCCATTCCCCTAACGTGCCCGAATGAATGCAATGTTGACGCTTGAGTGATTGTAATCAATTGAGGGTCATCGTGGGGGTGGTCCACTGGGACGGTTTCACCCTATGGAATGAGGTACATGCTGACATACACTCTTTCAATGTCAACCTATGTCACAGGCTGGTTTTTGTAAACCATTGGCGCAATAACTTCCACAGAGCAGGATGTGTAACTGCAATCGCCGTAGGTGCAGTCATGCTCATGCTCTTATACACATAGAGAAACAATTACAAATAAACGAGGACCGCCTCCGTGGTCTAGTGGTAGAGCGTCCGCCCGGAGAGCGGAAGGTCCGGAGTTCGATCCCCGGCCGCGTCATACGTTAAACGTTAAAAGATGAAACTTGTTGTTACCCTGTCTGGTGCTCGGCATTAAGGGGCTGAAACAAGGACTGGTCGGCTCGGAGTCAGTATACTGTGTCTGAGTGGGGTATTCATGTTAAACTGCGGCATGGTATCTCAGGGAACACTATAAATCGGCATCAGTCTGGTCTAGTACAAGCAGCCACACACGTGCATGCACGTCGCTATATAAGTGCAATTATCTTGGACGCGACGTTAAACCCCATTTCACCTCACCTCACAAATAAATGATGAAAGAATGTACATACGAATCATAACAATACAACAACGATGTCATGGTGTATGCCCTCAGTTCTTTGTTATATTGGGGTTTCACAAAAACATTCAATAACCGTAATGTCATGGGTATGTCATTTCGCGAGAACTTTGTTGAGAGGTCTTTCAAAATTAAAACGTATTCGGCAATGTGAGTACGTAAGGTATCCAACTGACACAACTATATCAAAGCGACTGGCCTTTTGATATTTTTGGGGTGGATGGGTGGGTGCATCCCGAGGCAATAGAGTTAACTGACTTTAAAAGTCCAGTTTCCATCCTTGCCGAACCAGGCTGGAATTCCTGGGCTCGATCAAGCGCCACCAGTGGTTATTACGAGCTATGTCCCTTCTATGCCTCTCATAAGGACCAATCACATTCCACCTCTCGTATCACATGCATTTGCTTCAAACAAAATGGCGGCGCCCAGTCAAGACGATCTGATCGATAATCAAGATCTATATTGTGATGAAAAGTGCGTCAAATCAACTTCATTAAAATCATGAAACGCTTTGGAAAATATCTGTTGACAAGGAGTTGGCGGTGCACATGCTTTGTAAATCTCGCAATCGACCGAAATCATCACCAAACCGGATTTCGATTTTGTCGCGCGATTTTGATTTGACTATTCACAGACACGTTAGCCCAGCTAAAATGTAACTCCATAATACCAGGCTAGTTCGGCAAGGGTGGAAACGGGACTTTTATAGTCGGTTAACTCTCTTGCCTCGGGAGGATGGGGTCAGTGTTATTTATTAGTATTTATTAGTTCCAGAAAGGTATAGTCTGTCCTCAGAGTTTGCATCAAAATAGACATTGTTCGCTGGACACGCCATGTGTTCAGAGAATACAGTTAATTGGCACCCTCCTTTCACAACAATATGTCTGGCGACCCCCAGGATGTAAACCTGTGATCCCCGGGGCCCTAATCACATAATAATCATTTCAGAAACAGATGATACCCAGACATAATCTGTTTCTGTTCTGTTAGTGTCTCTATTTTCGTATTTTTATGTGTTATTACAATTAAACATTTAAGAACAGGACCGAAAGCTTTATTCCAGGAAGGTAAAATGCAGTATGTAGCTCTTAGTACGTATTTTCTTATGAATATACGTCAATTCAAAACATCGAAGCTAGAGAATAATCAGTCTCCAATATCTGCCGAAACAGATTTCATAGGGCGTAAAACTAAAAATATTAATGAAAATTATATGAATGGATAATTAAAAATGGACACTGTGTTCCCGCCACTATCATCCGCCACTTCTATTATCTCTGCTCAAGCAAAGTCAGCGAGATCCCGTTAGTCGCCTCTTACGACAAGCATTACACCGGAGTAACGCCTCACTCATCGGGGATCCGACTCGTAATTGTCTAAAGGTATTTTGTTGTTGATACACACATGTGGAGTCGGAAATTAAATAAATAGACAGACGTATTGCATTGAGGCGCATTGACAAATAAGTTTAAGGAGTTATTGACACTAGACAATAACAACCAAGTTAAAGCATTGCTTCAATTCCAAGTAAACAAATACAAGTTTGATTCCAACGTGATTACGTCCAACAGACAAATATATACACACGTTAGCAGCGCTGATAGTAACCACTATCTATTCTAATACACAACTCAACCGATCTATGTACACAGACGGTATTACAAATATACACATGTGTAAGTTGCCACGACGCCAATCTAAATATATTAACAGTGAAAAGTAACTCCCGCCTTTGAATACACGTCAGAGGCACCGACGTCTCGAACAATGTACATGTTCTATTAGGTTACAGTGACCAAACCGAAATGGTAAATACAGTAAATTTACTTCCTACTTAGATTAGGGGAGACGCCTTTGATATGGCTTTCAACCATGTTAGAATGAACAATATCTTACCCAAACTGAATATGCATATTCATGATGTATATACATAGGTATAACATGAGCCATGTATTGCAGTCCTTTGTCTATGTGTGTACAGGTAGTGGTAAGTATGTTTATATTATAAAAGAATGTCATTTTGGTGATTTGCACCAAAGATATATCAATAGAAACAGAATTAACAATATCAATTAAAGAAACTGTTCTAGTGGCTCTTGTTTTCTATTAACAATCATGACATTTCGAGATTCTTTTGGAAATGTCATACCTGCAATATAAACATCTACTTTAAAATGTCACTAGTCACAAAATAACCTTTGTTCAATAGGAATAATCAAATTATTCTATAAACGTTATGTGACCGCCTCATCTTCAAAGAGGATGGTCGAGTATCCTTTTAAAAACAAATTGGCATTTACCTCACACAACTGGGGATTGGGTTACACAGGAATATTGGAAGGCGGGGGCTAGAATATCGGTAGATATTGACATCATACAGACAATATGATAGGGACACGCAGTGACAGGGTCATAACAATGTGGGCTTCTCGACTTTCCTGTTTCAATGCAATGTGTAATACAAAATGTTTCAGATGCGGAGATGCCACGTGAATATGATATATTTCAACTATGATTTGTCTTATAAAAGCCTCGCCATGGATGATTTATTGTGTGAGCGAGATACTATTTAATGCCACTTTGGCAATGTTTCAGTCATACAAACATTATTTGTTCATAAAAGACATGAACAGTACAAACAGTATTGTAAATTATACGGGGACACGGGTGGCCAAGTCGTCTAAGGCGCCGCGATTCGCTGTGCAGAGTTGCGTCCCTTGGGCACACCGGAAACCTATGCTTGTGGGTTCGAATCCCGATTCGCCCCGAATATGTTTCTAGGTTTGTCAGCACCATACCCGTGCTCGTTGGTTTCGCCGAAGTAGTAAACGTCTGAATCCTGCATTACTTCGGGTTTCCTCCCACATAAAGCTGACACGCCGTGATATAACTAGAATACTTTTAAAAGCGGCGTTAAACCCAACTCACTCACTCACTTGTAAATAATACACATAGTATCAACAGTTTGCAATATAGACCTATTTAGCGCCCTGCCCCTGAATATGGAACGGTTCTGTACTTTGTCCTGTACAGTGCCTCGTTGTACTGTTCTGTACTTCTTCTGTACAGGGTGTCGTTGTACTGTTCTGTACTTCCTATGTACACTTCCTCCATGTACTGTTCTGTACTTACTATGTACAGTGCCTCTTTGTACTGTTCTGTACTTCCTGTGTTCAGAGTTTCGTTGTACTGTTCTGTACTTCCTGTGTACACAGTGTCGTTGTCCTGTTCTGTACTTCCTATGTACAGTGCCGCGTTGTACTGTTCTGTACTTCCTGTGTACACAGTGTCGTTGTACTGTTCTGTACTTCCTGTGTACAGTGCCTCCATCTACTCTTCTGTACTTCCTGTGTACAGTGCCTCGTTGTACTGTTCTGTACTTCCTGTGTTCAGAGTGTCGTTGTACTGTTCTGTACTTCCTGTGTACACAGTGTCGTTGTCGTACACAGTGTCGTTGTCCTGTTCTGTACTTCCTGTGTAGAGTGCCGCGTTGTAGTGTTCTGTACTTCTTGTGTTCAGAGTTTCGTTGTACTGTTCTGTACTTCCTGTGTACACAGTGTCGTTGTCCTGTTCTGCACTTCCTATGTACAGTGCCGCGTTGTACTGTTCTGTACTTCTTGTGTTCAGAGTTTCGTTGTACTGTTCTGTACTTCCTGTGTACACAGTGTCGTTGTCCTGTTCTGTACTTCCTATGTACAGTGCCGCGTTGTACTATTCTGTACTTCCTGTGTACACAGTGTCGTTGTACTGTTCTGTACTTCCTGTGTACAGTACCTCCATCTACTGTTCTGTACTTCCTGTGTACAGTGCCTCCATCTACTGTTCTGTACTTCCTGTGTACAGTGCCTCCATCTACTGTTCTGTACTTCCTATGTACAGTGCCGCGTTGTACTGTTCTGTACTCCCTATGTACAGAGCCTCCATCTACTGTTCTGTACTTCCTGTGTACAGAGCCTCCATCTACTGTTCTGTACTTCCTATGTACAGTGCCTCGTTGTACTGTTCTGTACTTTCTGTGTACAGTGCCTCCATCTACTGTTCTGTACTTCCTGTGTACAGTGCCTCGTTGTACTGTTCTGTACTTCTTGTGTTCAGAGTGTCGTTGTACTGTTCTGTACTTCCTGTGTACACAGTGTCGTTGTCCTGTTCTGTACTTCCTATGTACAGTGCCGCGTTGTACTGTTCTGTACTTCCTGTGTACAGTGCCTCGTTGTACTGTTCTGTACTTCTTGTGTTCAGAGTGTCGTTGTACTGTTCTGTACTTCCTGTGTACACAGTGTCGTTGTCCTGTTCTGTACTTCCTATGTACAGTGCCGCGTTGTACTGTTCTGTACTTCCTGTGTACAGTGCCGCGTTGTACTGTTCTGTACTTCCTATGTACAGTGCCTCGTTGTACTGTTCTGTACTTCTTGTGTTCAGAGTGTCGTTGTACTGTTCTGTACTTCCTGTGTACACAGTGTCGTTGTCGTACACAGTGTCGTTGTCCTGTTCTGTACTTCCTGTGTAGAGTGCCGCGTTGTAGTGTTCTGTACTTCTTGTGTTCAGAGTTTCGTTGTACTGTTCTGTACTTCCTGTGTACACAGTGTCGTTGTCCTGTTCTGTACTTCCTATGTACAGTGCCTCGTTGTACTGTTCTGTACTTCTTGTGTTCAGAGTGTCGTTGTACTGTTCTGTACTTCCTGTGTACACAGTGTCGTTGTCGTACACAGTGTCGTTGTCCTGTTCTGTACTTCCAGTGTACAGTGCCGCGTTGTAGTGTTCTGTACTTCTTGTGTTCAGAGTTTCGTTGTACTGTTCTGTACTTCCTGTGTACACAGTGTCGTTGTCCTGTTCTGTACTTCCTGTGTACAGAGCCTCCATCTACACAGTGTCGTTGTCCTGTTCTGTACTTCCAGTGTACAGTGCCGCGTTGTAGTGTTCTGTACTTCTTGTGTTCAGAGTTTCGTTGTACTGTTCTGTACTTCCTGTGTACAGTACCTCCATCTACTGTTCTGTACTTCCTGTGTACAGTGCCTCCATCTACTGTTCTGTACTTCCTGTGTACAGTGCCTCCATCTACTGTTCTGTACTTCCTATGTACAGTGCCGCGTTGTACTGTTCTGTACTCCCTATGTACAGAGCCTCCATCTACTGTTCTGTACTTCCTGTGTACAGAGCCTCCATCTACTGTTCTGTACTTCCTATGTACAGTGCCGCGTTGTACTGTTCTGTACTTTCTGTGTACAGTGCCTCCATCTACTGTTCTGTACTTCCTGTGAAAAGTGCCTCGTTGTACTGTTCTGTACTTCTTGTGTTCAGAGTGTCGTTGTACTGTTCTGTACTTCCTGTGTACACAGTGTCGTTGTCCTGTTCTGTACTTCCTATGTACAGTGCCGCGTTGTACTGTTCTGTACTTCCTGTGTACACAGTGTCGTTGTCCTGTTCTGTACTTCCTGTGTACAGAACCTCCATCTACTGTTCTGTACTTCCTGTGTACAGTGCCTCCATCTACTGTTCTGTACTTCCTCTGTACAGATCCTCATTGTACAACTCTGTGCTTCATGTGCACAATGTCCTTGTACTGCTCTGTATTTCCGTGTACACTGCGTCATTGTACCGTTCACCGATGGTCCAGTGATCGACTCAAGTGAAGAACTGCCGCCTGCACTGTACCAAACAAAGACCCCGCTAATTTTGATATCCGATGTACCGAGTAGTTACAATGATCGTCCGAAAGGAGGGGTTCCGCATTATAGAGGCTTCACTGTGTACACTGTAGATGTACACTTGTCAGGTTCATCAATATGACTCAATGAACGTTACAATGATCGTCCGAAAGGAGGGGTTCCGCATTATAGAGGCTTCAGTGTGTATACTTAAGGTGTACAGCTTCATCAATATGACTCAATGAACGTTACAATGATCGTTCGAAAGGAGGGGTTCCGCATTATAGAGGCTTCAGTGTGTATACTTCAGGTGTACAGGTTTATCAATATGACTCGATGAACGTTACAATGATCGTCCGAAAGGAGGGGTTCCGCATTATAGAGGCTTCAGTGTGTCTACTTCAGGTGTACAGCTTCATCAATATGACTCAATGAAAGTTACAATGATCGTCCGAAAGGAGGGGTTCCGCATTATAGAGGCTTCAGTGTGTATACTTCAGGTGTACAGCTTCATCAATATGACACGATGAACGTTACAATGATCGTCCGAAAGGAGGGGTTCCGCATTATAGAGGCTTCACTGTGTCTACTTCAGGTGTACAGCTTCATCAATATGACTCGATGAACGTTACAATGCTCTTCCGAAAGGAGGGGTTCCGCATTATAGAGGCTTCAGTGTGTCTACTTCAGGTGTACAGCTTCATCAATATGACTCAATGAACGTTACAATGATCGTCAGAAAGGAGGGGTTCCGCATTATAGAGGCTTCAGTGTGTCTACTTCAGGTGTACAGCTTCATCAGTATGACCCAATGAACGTTACAATGATCGTCCGAAAGGAGGGGTTCCCCATTATAGAGGCTTCACTTTGTACACTGTAGATGTACAGGTTCATCAATATGACTCAATGAACGTTACAATGATCGTCCGAAATGAGGGGTTCCGCATTATAGAGGCTTCACTGTGTATACTTCAGGTGTACAGGTTTTATCAATATGACTCAATGAACGTTACAATGATCGTCCGAAAGGAGGGGTTCCGCATTATAGAGGCTTCACTGTGTCTACTTCAGGTGTACAGCTTCATCAATATGACTCGATGAACGTTACAATGATCGTCCGAAAGGAGGGGTTCCGCATTATAGAGGCTTCAGTGTGTCTACTTCAGGTGTACAGCTTCATCAATATGACTCAATGAACGTTACAATGATCGTCCGAAAGGAGGGGTTCCCCATTATAGAGGCTTCACTTTGTACTCTGTAGATGTACAGCTTCATCAATATGACTCAATGAACGTTACAATGATCGTCCGAAAGGAGTGGTTCCGCATTATAGAGGCTTCATTGTGTTTACTTCAGGTGTACAGCTTCATTAATATGACTCGATGAACGTTACAATGATCGTCCGAAAGGAGGGGTTCCGCATTACAGAGGCTTCAGTGTGTCTACTTCAGGTGTTCAGCTTCATCAATATGATTTAATGAACGTTACAATGATCGTCCGAAATGAGGGGTTCCGCATTATAGAGGCTTCATTGTGTATACTTCAGGTGTACAGCTTCATCACTATGACTCGATGAACGTTACAATGATCGTCCGAAAGGAGGGGTTCCGCATTATAGAGGCTTCAGTGTGTCTACTTAAGGTGTACAGCTTCATCAATATGACTCAATGAACGTTACAATGATCGTCCGAAAGGAGGGGTTCCGCATTATAGAGGCTTCACTGTGTATACTTCAGGTGTACAGCTTAATCAATATGACTCGATGAACGTTACAATGATCGTCCGAAAGGAGGGGTTCCGCATTATAGAGGCTTCAGTGTGTCTACTTCAGGTGTACAGCTTCATCAATATGACTCAATGAACGTTACAGTGATCTTCCGAAAGGAGGGGTTCCGCATTGTAGAGGCTTCAGTGTGTATACTTCAGGTGTACAGCTTCATCAATATGACTCAATGAACGTTACAATGATCGTCCGAAAGGAGGGGTTCCGCATTGTAGAGGCTTCAGTGTGTATACTTCAGGTGTACAGCTTCATCAATATGACTCAATGAACGTTACAATGCTCTTCCGAAAGGAGGGGTTCCCCATTATAGAGGCTTCACTTTGTACTCTGTAGATGTACAGGTTCATCAATATGACTCAATGAACGTTACAATGATCGTCCGAAATGAGGGGTTCCGCATTATAGAGGCTTCACTGTGTATACTTCAGGTGTACAGGTTTATCAATATGACTCAATGAACGTTACAATGATCGTCCGAAAGGAGGGGTTCCGCATTATAGAGGCTTCATTGTGTATACTTCAGGTGTACAGCTTCATCAATATGACTCGATGAACGTTACAATGATCGTCCGAAAGGAGGGGTTCCGCATTATAGAGGCTTCAGTGTGTCTACTTCAGGTGTTCAGCTTCATCAATATGATTTAATGAACGTTACAATGATCGTCCGAAAGGAGGGGTTCCGCATTATAGAGGCTTCATTGTGTATACTTCAGGTGTACAGCTTCATCAATATGACTCGATGAACGTTACAATGATCGTCCGAAAGGAGGGGTTCCGCATTATAGAGGCTTCAGTGTGTCTACTTAAGGTGTACAGCTTCATCAATATGACTCAATGAACGTTACAATGATCGTCCGAAAGGAGGGGTTCCGCATTATAGAGGCTTCACTGTGTATACTTCAGGTGTACAGCTTAATCCATATGACTCGATGAACGTTACAATGATCGTCCGAAAGGAGGGGTTCCGCATTATAGAGGCTTCAGTGTGTCTACTTCAGGTGTACAGCTTCATCAATATGACTCAATGAACGTTACAATGATCTTCCGAAAGGAGGGGTTCCCCATTGTAGAGGCTTCAGTGTGTATACTTCAGGTGTACAGCTTCATCAATATGACTCAATGAACGTTACAATGATCGTCCGAAAGGAGGGGTTCCGCATTATAGAGGCTTCACTGTGTATACTTCAGGTGTACAGGTTCATCAATATGACTCAATGAACGTTACAATGATCGTCCGAAAGGAGGGGTTCCGCATTATAGAGGCTTCAGTGTGTCTACTCCAGGTGTACAGCTTCATCAATATGACTCAATGAACGTTACAATGCTCTTCCGAAAGGAGGGGTTCCGCATTATAGAGACTTCAGTGTGTCTACTTCAGGTGTACAGCTTCATCAATATGACTCAATGAACGTTACAATGATCTACCGATAGGAGGGGTTCCGCATTATAGAGTCTTCAGTGTGTATACTTCAGGTGTACAGCTTCATTAATATGACTCAATGAACGTTAAAATGATCGTCCGAAAGGAGGGGTTCCGCATTATAGAGGCTTCATTGTGTATACTTCAGGTGTACAGGTTTATCAATATGACACGATGAACGTTACAATGATCGTCCGAAAGGAGGGGTTCCGCATTGTAGAGGCTTCAGTGTGTCTACTCCAGGTGTACAGCTTCATCAATATGACTCAATGAACGTTACAATGATCTTCCGAAAGGAGGGGTTCCGCATTATAGAGGCTTCAGTGTGTCTACTTCAGGTGTACAGCTTCATCAATATGACACGATGAACGTTACAATGATCGTCCGAAAGGAGGGGTTCCGCATTAAAGAGACTTCAGTGTGTATACTTAAGGTGTACAGCTTCATCAATATGACTCAATGAACGTTACAATGATCTTCCGATAGGAGGGGTTCCGCATTATAGAGTCTTCAGTGTGTATACTTCAGGTGTACAGCTACATTAATATGACTCAATGAACGTTACAATGATCTTCCGAAAGGAGGGGTTCCGCATTATAGAGGCTTCAGTGTGTCTACTTCAGGTGTACAGCTTCATCACTATGACTCAATGAACGTTACAATGATCGTCCGAAAGGAGGGGTTCCGCATTATAGAGGCTTCACTGTGTATACTTCAGGTGTACAGCTTCATCACTATGACTCAATGAACGTTACAATGATCGTCCGAAAGGAGGGGTTCCGCATTATAGAGGCTTCACTGTGTCTACTTCAGGTGTACAGCTTCATCACTATGACTCAATGAACGTTACAATGATCGTCCGAAAGGAGGGGTTCCGCATTATAGAGGCTTCACTGTGTATACTTCAGGTGTACAGCTTCATCACTATGACTCAATGAACGTTACAATGATCGTCCGAAAGGAGGGGTTCCGCATTATAGAGGCTTCACTGTGTATACTTCAGGTGTACAGGTTCATCACTATGACTCAATAATCGATTCATATGATGCGATAATATTGTACTGACGCAACCTCGCAACTTCTAAAGCACCACTGCTTTTTCACTGCCATATGGGTGTACACTTAATCCAAGCCACATATCCGCGAGCAGGCATTTGCATGGATGAGGTATTTTGAGCTTTAAAAGATGGTTTATATTTATACACGGACACATTATTTAATTTGCTGAAGGCAAGATTTCTGAAGTTTAAGAGCACTAAATCCTTGAAAGTTCTTTTTCAGACCTGATTTTATATTGATCGAAGCTGTAGTGGATAGCGACAACAGCGAAGTCCAATCGTCGGATAATTGGTTCGATTCTAGACTCTCATAGCCATGATATACCATGCCGACTCCAGGAAACCCCGTTAAGAGCTGCAGCTTGCACGTTAACGCGATATAGTTTTCTATATGATCAGCTCCTAGGAGTGCCTGAGACGTCTAAAGTTCAGTAATGAAGCTAGTAGAAAATGGGTGCTTGCAAACGTGGGTGAATCACTTTAAGATCTTAATCAACAACAAGAAACATAATACATCTATTTAGGAGTCGTCCATTTTGGTTTTG